CACCTTCCCACGCTCTTGCTGGGGGCTAAGGAAATGCTTATTTCCCTGAACGCGGCCTTCACCAAACCATTCCATCATAGTGTAGTTGCAATCTATCACTTCTGTATAAAATTTTTGACGTGCAGTTTTGCAGCTGATTTCTTGCTCTCATTTTCTTATTCTTCCCCTGTGCCTTAAAAGAGGTGCATATTTCAGTCACTTAAAAACCCTTGAAATAATCCACTGAAACTCTGCACAGTGAATGCGCTTCAAAGTGATTACCATCACTAATGTTTTCCAATTTGGTCAACCAGTTAAGAGCTCTGATGCTTCCTCATTATTGAATCTTTTACCAAATCAAATCTGAATTGATTCAGCTCTGTTAAGCCTTAAATATTGAAACTTTAACACCCAAGTACTTGTATTTCAGTGCTATGTTTTATTGTTATAATCAGAAATGTTTAAGTATTTCCTTCTGGTTTCTGTAAATCTTGTTACAAAACAGTATAGTATGCTGGCCAGGGAAGATAATAAAGATGTTCTATTCATGCTTGGTTCGGTTCTCTTTGATTCTGTTACGGTTTGGTTCATATTGCATCTTGTTGCTTCCCAATCTCAACTTTGGATAAAAATCTGTCACATTTGAATCAGATTTTTAGCTGATTTTATTCAATGGGGGCATGGAATTAGCAACATCTAAGAGGAAAGGTAAGGGTACCCTGAAGATGCTAAAGAGGGAAGGGAAAGGAAGGGACAGGAGCACAAAAGTCCACGCTGAGAAAGCCTGTTCTTCCACCTAAGAAATGGACACACCGGCCTAACCTCCCAAGTGTTCTGTGGCTGTTTCAAGCTTTGGGGGAGCATCATCTTACCTTTGACCACGAGGTCAGCCAAGGATTTGGATTTGCCAATGGCAAACTGGATGGTCCCTGTCATGTCCACATTGGTCTTCCTCAGGACCAGCCAGTGGGTTCTCCCCTCTTGTTCTATGATGACATTTGGGCCATCCTGCAGCAGTTCACCACGAAGAGACCATTTGGGGGGCTTCACTGACTGAATGGAGATTTCACATTCAAATCTGGCTTCTGCTGGTTCTGTCACCTCAACATCTCTCAGCTCCTTCACGATGTTGATGGATTGTTCTGAAGAGAAATTATGGAAGACAAAGCTGAAAGCTAGGCCATGACCACCAGTGCTTGGGGACCTGGCCATCTCCAAGCCTTCAAGTCACCGTTGTTGTCATGAAGTGTTGCAGGAAGAACTTTCTAAGATAATAATAATTATTGTAACAATGATCGTAACTAATGTATAATGATAACAATTGGGTAACAATTGGCTAGGTTGCTGAAGTTATTTTAAGAAAAGAGGAGGAAAGTAAAATAAAAAGTTAAGTTCCAGTTGTGTGGAGTTAAAACTCCCAGAATTCTCAGCAATGATGGTCAGGGAATTCTGGGAGTTAAATCCACACATCAGGAGGCCACTCAGGCTGGGAAAAGCTGATTTAGGGGTAGTAATATCAAGACTCTTCTTCTCCTCATAGATCTGCTGTCACAAAATGGCTCCCTCAGATCAACTCCTTCCCCTTTTTTCCCCAGCTTTTCTTGACAAATTGATATTACAAGTGAGGAAGAGGGGAGTACCTTCCACATAGAACTGGGCGCTGCTCTTGTCATCAATGGCATCACAGGTGTAAATGCCTTCATCCTCAAACTCTGTCTCGTTGATTACAAGCTTTCGGTAGATCCCATCGCTCACCATCTCATACTTCTGGCTAGGATGGATCTCTCGGTCTCCCTTGAACCACCTGACTATAGCGTTCGGACGAGAAACTTGGCATTCCATGAACCCCCGGTGTTTTTCAATGGCAATCTTCACACGGAGGGGTTTAACTATCTTTACAGGTAGTTCTGAAGGAGGAGAATAGAAGGTCACTGATGAAACTGTTAAGGGAATTCAAAGTGAGTAATAAACCAAAACTTAACAAACTTTACAATCATCTGCATAAGCTAGCCGGTATTCATAGCCCCTAGTTCACCTTCCTCCTAACTTGGAAGTCTTCCAGATGTGTTAAGACTGCTTTCCCCATAATTTTCAACAGCACCAAAGAGTATTTTGGGATTGCCCTCGGAACACATCTGGAGAACCTGACACTGGGAACAGACGTTGTAGCTCAGTCAAGGGTCCAGTACTAAGAAGACGATGAATTCACAGGCAAATAAAATTCCTCAGTTCATACATCAATCTCTCAATGGTTACCGTATTTTAGAAGAAAACCCAACTTCAGTGCTGAGTATATATCAAATGATTAAGCAGGTGAACCTTTCAATACTGGGTTCTTACAGAGTAGCTAGTGTGGGGCTACGCTTCCTGAAAAATGAAAAGATTGGCACTGAATTATGGAGTAACTCATTACCTTTTACTTTAAGTTGAGCTCGGGATTCTGCAACTTCGGCCACAAATTTGATCTCTGCAGAATCCTGCATCACCACACTTCGGTAGACAAGCAGGTGGCTTTTCCCTGTACACAGAAACACAGTCTCCCAGTTATGGGCCATCCATGTTAAGACAAAAACACTCCACTCACTTATGCAGAAACATCTCCACATTTAAGGAACAGCAAAGATAAGCAGGAAGGAATAAGAGGATTACAGGTACTGCTACCTGTTTCCCTAGGATGAGGGTCAGGAGGTTAATGGGACCCATGATGGTTATTTGTGGGAACTTGCTGTTGTCCTCAGCTGCCATTATACTGGTTGTAAGTATGTATGTATGTATGTATATTATCCTAACGCAAACTCCAAATGTGGGTACGACATTACCATGCATATTTAAAAGAGACAAGAGCTGTGTTTCAATGCATGCTTTGACATTTCCTCTCCCTTGACTCCTCTGGGGATACCCATGTTTCTATTTTCATTGCTATGTTGGATTTAATCAGACTTTTTAAAGTATTTCTATCTATGGCTATTGGGCAGTTTAAAACGTTTAATAAATAAATGCAGCTAGTCCCCGGGCTAAGAACACCCAGTTTAAGGATGACCCATAGTTAAGAATGGAGCCTACTGTAGCAGAATTGGAGTTAAATACACAATGGTTCGAATTAATTACACAATACTAATTATACAGTATTATAATATACTGTTCCAGCTTACATACAAATTCGACTTAAGGACAGACCTTGGGAACAGAACTTGTT